TATGGGACACCTACTTCCACCTCGGCTGTGAGTGCTCCAACCCTAAAGTACCAGAGAAAACTATACCTGTGGCTGGAACCAGTTAGCTTTTCCCCCACCCCCCACCACGATAGGCCAATGTGGAGTCATTTTTCTTTGCTTAGACACAGAAGCTTTGTAAAATCACAATGTGCTGAAAGTACTATGATAGATATGTAAAATGTGTATAAAAATTCCACATCCTCATCTTGGCCACATCAGATGAAAACAGACAGCTCCCCAAAGGTTAACTCAACTCCCCTAATATTAAACAGGAAACCCACAAGGGAAACATAAAAATCCAAATAGAAGTAACATAAATCTGTCACAAATCATAAACAAAAACTCTTTGTGGGACGGCATAGATAACCAATGATCTGCTGTGTGAATTTTAGAATAAGGCAGACAAAAGTTGGAAGGCTGATTAACCCTCCCCTCCTCCCCCTGCTTCAGCTTCATGTCCCTGGGTGTCCAATGTCCAAGTGGTCTCTCAGTAATTGCATTATTAGCGTGCTGTCTTCATCTGATTCTTCCCCGGCCGTATCAAGTTCAGCAGTGGCTTCATCCAAAGCTGTCTTTCCAAGGGTGCAGGCTTTCTCTGGAGAGTTCAGGCTCTCCTAATAGAACACAGAGAATTCAAGGCCAGACCCAGTCTTCTCTGAGCATCTCCTTTTTGCTGATTTCAAATGTCTCTTGATATGCTTGTGAGTGATCGACTATTCGATGGACCATTCCTTTCTTGTCATCACCAGCAGCTACCTCAGCTAAAGAACGGTCTCCTTTTGTTTTCAAATAGAAAACTTTGCTTTCTGCTTTGTGAAGCGTTAGGAACTCTTCCCACAGAGACAGTACATCATTGCACTGTATCTCTTAGCTCAGTCTCAATCTTCCCCCTGTATTCTCTGGCCATCTGCTGGTTTTTTTTTTCCCTCAGCACCTTCTGTCTTTTGTTCCATACTTGAAATGACCCTCCAAGATGACCTTTGGGCCCCTACAACATTTTTGTAAGCAACAGAGAGAAGATTGCTCTCCTCGCTGAATAATTCAGCTCCTTGCTCATGCAGGCTTCACGCAGGCTGCCATATCCATCATATGTCTCAGCCTGCTCAGCCAATTCTATACCAGCTCATTTTTATCCACGACTGAATATTCTGTGCCTGGGAGTGAGCGGTAGCGGCAGCGGCGGGCAGACAGACAGGGTTTGGGTGGTCTCTGGGCAGCCGCACCAGCAATAGTGGGGCTAAGACTCTGGCTATATCTCTCGGCTCCTATAGAGACCATCTGAAAACTTGTCAATTCATAGTCAGTCAGTAAACATCTAAGTATCTACTAACATCCCAGATACTGTAGTACTAAGTGCTAGGGATACAAAGAAATAATACAGGCAAAAGACAATCCTTGATTTCAAGAATGGTTACTGGTTGATAGAATCATTGTGAAGTGTGGCAACCTATATGCATCACTGGTAGCAGTGATCCGGGTTGTATGCAAGAAGACTGAATGTTCATATACTAGAGGACTTTGAATAAGAAATCTAAATTGGACCAGAGCAACATGTAAAGAGCTAAGGTGCCTGGAGGATCTGCTAGACAGCCAATGGTTCTCAGTGCTGGATTAATGGAGATTGAATCCTGCCAGATATCTGGATACTGTCTGGTTCCAATGGCAGAAGAAGACAAAGAGAAAGTGGCTTACATTTGCCCAGCTGGATTTTCCCAGTTTGAGTGTCTGCTCCAAGGGATCTTAGGGGCACCTGCCACTTTTCAGTGGCTTCTGGAGGAAGTTGTTGAAGGCATGAACTCTATGAACATGATGACCTGTATCTGGATGACTTCATTGTCTTTGAGAATGTCCTGCAAAAGCATGAGAAGAGACAGGTGAAAATGTTGGGTCAACTATAGGGAGTAGGTCTGAGACTGTGACAAATGTAGTCACACAGAACTTCTATGTTGTATGTGAATCATCAAGTATCTCAGCAAGGAGAGATTACCCAGAGAAAACAAAAGTGACCTTCAAGTGGCCGCCTCCAAAGGATCTTTGAGACCTAAGGACTTCTCTAGGATTTGGTGGCTATTGTCACAAATGAGTAAATTGTTCCGCTGCTATTGCTAAACTACTGAGGTGGCACTGTGGATAGAGCTCCAGGCCTGCAGGGGGGAAAACTCATCTTCCTGAGTTCAAACCTGGCCTCAGACACTTACTAGCTGTGTGACCATGGGCAAGTCCCTTCACCCTTTTGCCTCAGTTTCCTCATCTGTAAAATGAGCTGGAGAGGGAAATGGCAAACCACTCCAGTATCTCCCCCAAGAAGATCCCAAATGGGGTCACAGAGAGTTGAACACGACTGTCCAATGACAACAACAGTCACTTAGGAGCATGTATGATTGAGAACAAGAGGTAAATGGACAGGAAAAGTCACTTTGGTTAAGCCATCTGAAACCGGCGGGAGATGGTTAGATTGACTGGCATGAACAAGCTTGTAATAACTTAGCTGCTGCCCCCAGAGACACCATCCTTGGTCTGAGCAGACCTAAGTGTGCCTTTTGACCTGCTTGCAGATAGATGCTGACCTGAAAGGCTTGGGAGCAGACTTGTACCAGCAGAGTGACTATCACCCATCCCATTTGCCGACAGAGTGAAACTCTGGGTGATGAAACTTATCTTTCTATAGTCTGGAGTTCTTGGCTTTAAAGTGGGCTATCACTGAGCAGTTCAAAGACGATGAGTACGGTGCTAAATCCCACGTGCGAATGGACACCGGTCTGCTGTTTTGTATTTTAACTAGCACCAAATTAGATGTTGACTGCTTAGACGTGGGTGGTAGTCTATGACTTCAGACCAGGCTCCCCCTGGTCTGAGAAGGCTAATGGGAATGCGAATGTTCTGTTCCATGATCCATATGACACAGAAGTTCCAGTGATGCTTGTTGGAGGGATGAAGGTAATTTTTGATACCCAGGGAACTTGTCTGCAGTCAAATGTGAGGGAACCAGAGAGTCTGAATTCCCACCAGAGTCCATCTCTGGTGTTTCTGAGGCTTGCGGGGCCTGGGTCTGGCACTACCATTGCAGGAGGTAAACAGCCAGGCCAGAGGCCTGTGGTTTCATCCCATTCAGTAATGAGATCAGCGAGGCCTGGACTCACAGGACACCAGGTTCCTGAGGCCCCCAAGGAACTGCCCTGTCCCTGACCTCTTGGGTTCCTGGGGAGGTGCCCCTCCCCTGGTGCTGAGCTTCCTGCCCCCTCCCCTTCCTAGGCATTTCATCTCTATTTTCAGTGCCCATCCTCTTTCTTTCCAGTTTCATCTGTCCTAGCTTCCCTGCCTTTCTTTGGCCAACCCCTCAATTTATATAAAGCCAGTCAATTCCCCCAATCTGTCCATTTGCCTTCCCTTCACCTAACAGACTTCATCCTCCAGGTATGGAATTGTAAAATTTTAGGACATAGAGACCATATCTCTATCTCTCTCTCTCTCTCTCTCTCTCTCTCTCTCTCTCTCTCTCTCTCTCCCTCCCTCTCTCTCTCTCTCTCTTTCTGTGTCTGCACACACACACACACACACACACACACACACACACACACACACACACAGAGGCTGTATAGTTGGGAATATTGAAGCCCCCAATCTGGAAGACATTTAACCCAAGGCTACCTACCTAGCCTCACCTCTGAACTAGAATTTGAACCTAGGTCTCCCTGAGTCTCATCCCTGGGCTCTTGCCACAACTCCTCCCCCATTCCTCCATTCCCTAACCTACAGTTCTTCAAGCATCCATTCCTCACAGATCAGTTTGTGTTATCTTTCCCTTCTTTGGGTCTTAACCTGAGCTGATGGGACTCTTAAGTTTCTGAGAACCTAGCATTCATTGACTCCAGGGTTCTAGGCTTCTGGAATTCCCTGGTTCTAGTCACCTCCCAGCTACTCCTTTTCCTTCTTCCACCAAAGAAACCCACTCCCCCAACCCCACCGTCTGCAGCCCAACCCTCACAGAATCCTGCCTGAGTACAATTTCCCCCGGGACTCCAGCAGACATGATGCAACCCGGCCCGGAGCCGGCGGCGGGAGGGGATGCAGAGATATAATTACAGCTCCGCTGTCCTCCCGGCAGGAAGGAGTGGACCCCGGGGACCCTAATCTAATTGTTAATAACTGAGCAACGACCCGTCCCCTCCTCCCCCTTCTCTGGTTCCCTCTCCTTCCCCTGACCCCCATCTACACTGCTGGGATGGAGTCTGTCCCACCCTTCCTGCTATCGCAGCCTGAGCCTCCATCCCCCTCCTCCCCCCAGCGCGCCCATCAATGTGCCCGCGGGCCCAGAGGCGCCTCTTCTCTTAGAGACAAGGATGGGATGGGGTCTCAGTCCTGGCAGCTGTCCCCACTTGCGAGCGCACAGACAGCGAAAATCAGTACATGGGAGGGCCCAGCTGGGGGGGGGGGCAAATGCAGGGGGAGCGAAGGGGAAGCAATACAGGGGCTCAGTTAGAGCACCCGAGGGGACAAGTGTGAGTACGTCGCCCACCCAGATGCGGCGGCTAACGGGCAGGATGCGGTCTGGGTCAGAATGGGAGATGGGCTAGGAGATACAGCCAAACTTGGAGAATAGAGGGGACCAGGCGCGAAGAGAACGGGGGCTGGCCTCGGGGAGTGGTCCAGTAGGAGGGGGAGGAGATCGGAGCTGCTCACGGGCCGTCAAATGCGGGGGATGCTGGAGAAGAGGGGCGGGGGCGGGGAGAGGACGAAGGCTTCCTCTCTCAGCATCCCCACCCTGTCACTCCCACTGCCTAGGCTAGCTAGGTAGCCTTGGATTAAGTGTCTTCCAGATTGGGGGCCTCAATATTCCCGGGGGAGGATACGGGATTTCGGGAAATCTAGGTCTCTTGTCCCAACCACCCCCACTCCGCGTGCCTCAGTTGCCCACAAAAGACCAGGAGATGCAGAAGTCATTCATTTTATTTCTGTATTTTTTTCGGGGGCTGGGGGATTCAGAGCAGGACGCAGAAAAGTCGTTTCTCGCGGAAGGGATTCTCGGCCGCGGGCACCGGGGTCACCAGTGGGTCCTCCTTCACATGCGCCTCGCAGAAGGCCAGCAGCTCGGCCGCGGCTTTGGACACCTGAAGCGGGAGGTAAAGGGTTAAGCGCATCTCTAGCCACCACCCACCCAAGCCCACAGAGGCCCCTTTAGGCGACACCCTCTGGTCGAGTCTGGAACTACACCGAATATCTCTCCGTGGTCGCCGGTGCGCAGCACCACCACATGGCCACGGCTGGAATCGCAGCCTTCTTCCCAGACCTAATGATAGCCGTGCCCCCGCGTGGTCGAGCTTGGGAATGCACCCTTACCCTGCCGCTCGTCAGGAACACCCACGGGCGGGGCCGCTGGTCTAGGCTCCCCGCCCAGTCCTGGTACCCATAGCGCCACCACTTGGCCACGCTCGGAATCTCAGCCTCCCTCCCTCCCAGCAGCGACGCCCGCTGGCCGACTCCAAAACTGCAGCAGAGATGGAAGGACGTGAGTCTCTTCTCAATGCCAACAGCAGCAATAGTGACAGCCTAGACCTCCAGCTGTTATGTCACATGATCGTAAGATTTAGGACTGGAGGAGATCTGAGAGGTGATCTTAAGCTATGTGGAATCAAAGATCTGAAGCTGAATGGGGACCTCAAGTCAAGCCCCTTCATTTTAGAGATCAGAAAGTCCAAAGACTTGCAACCCAAGATAACACAGGGAGTAAGAGGAGAAGCCTGGATTCAAACCCAGGCCCTCCGATGCCAAATCCAGCATCTCTCCCTGCCCCACCCTGCACAGCACCATGCTAACTGCACCAACCCACCCATTTTACAAACGCGAAGACTGAGGCTCAGAAAGGTGACGGGTCTTACCCAACGTCACATGCGATCCCTTTGTCTAACGTCCTTACCGCTAGCAAAAGCTTATATTTATAGCAAAGAATGCCCAGATGGGAAGGGATCTCAGTGATCAGCTGGATAAGTCTGTGCTCATAAAGGGTATCCCCCAATACAACCCACCCGGCAAATGGCCATCCGACCCTTGCGTGGCTATTGGAAGACATCCATAGAGAAAGAACTCACTACCTCCCATGGAAGCCTTTTGGATAGGATGAATCATTAGGAAGTTTTTCCTGACATGAAGCTTAGATTTTCATGTTTGGTTCTAGTCTAGCCCTTTGAGGACAAACAAAATGGGCCTAATCTCTCTTCCACTTTTAAGTACTCAGATACAGCTATCATGCCACTCATCTCTAGCCTACTCTTCTCCAATATAGCTCATCACCTGTTCTCCAACTTATAGTCTTGGAGAGTTACCTGGGGGTACTGAGAGGTTATGTGCCTGGCCCTAGGTCACATAGCCAGGATATACCAGAGACAGGATGGGAACTCAAACTGGAGTCAGGAAGACCTGAGTTCAAAGCCTTCATCAAACCCTTACTAGCTATGTGACTCTGGGCAAGTTACTCCCCTGCTCTGTGACTCAGTTTCCACATTTGAAAAATGAGGGAGTTGAATCCAATGACTGCTAAGGTCCTTCTCCTCCTTCTTCTTCCGTATCACACTGTTGGTTCATACTGAATTTACAATCCACTAATGATCCTAGATTTTTTTTCAGACAAATGCTATTTAACCATCTTATATTAGTGAAACTGATTTCCTGAACCTAAGTATAAAACTTTACTGTTATCCTTATTGAATTAGACACAGTTCCTGATTACTGTGGATAAGGAATCCCCCAAAGTGGGTTTTTTTTTTTGGTTTTTTTATTTTGGTAATTGGGGTTAAGTAACTTGCCCAGGGTCATACAGCTAGGCAAAGTGGTCTTTTATTTGAATTCGCACTGCATATTTCCATTGGGTTGAAATCAGTTACAATATTTTACATTTATTTTCACATCTTTATATATTTTATTTTTACATTCATATCTTCAGATAGTGTGAATTTAAACATACACATAAACATAAACTCCCTTCAGGAGATTCGTTATTTTTACTCATTGGGACCTGGTTGCCTATCTTATTATATTCAACCCAGTGCTCTACCCTGTCAAGACCCTTGGGAATCCTGACTCTTTCATCCAGGGTCAGCTTTCCCTCCCAGCTTTGTATTATCTCCAAATTTTATAAATATGCCACCTATGCCTTTATCCAAGTCATTAATAAAAAATATTCAACATTACAAGGCCAATTACAGATCCCTAAGGCACTCCACTAGAGACCTCTTTCAAAGTTGTACAGGCCATTAGAATCCATCTAGTTATACTTTCATCTAGCTCACTTCATGCCTTCTTTTTCACAAGAATTGGCTGAGATACACCATAAGATGCTTTTAGACTTACAAAGTACTTTTCTCTGCAACCCTGAAAGACAGATAGCCCAAGCATTGTTATTATCCCCATTTTCCATATTTGGAAACTGAGACTCTGAGAGGTCTTATTTACCAATAGTTACCAATAACCACAGAGGAGTAAGTGTCTAAGGCAAGTTTCAAACCCATTCTCCTGTCTTCAAGTCCAACACTGTATTTACTACACCAAACACCAGGTGTTTTTCCTTCTCTTCTTTTCTCTGGTCCCAATGGACAATGCAAGTCCCAGGTCTGAGGAGTGAATCCCTTTGTCCCCTATTTCCCTAGCCTCCATTCTTACCTCCCGGTTCCCGAATTGTGCATACCTTCATGCGTTCGATGTTGACTTCCAGCTTTAGCTGCTCCACCGTCTTTCGGGCCTCAGCGATCTTGGCCATGTTGTTGGACATTGTTGTGAAGAAGGGGTTAACGCTCCTACAGATACCCTGGGGACAAAGGGACAAAGGGACAAAGGGATAGGGAACAGAGAGCTGGGAGGAATTGAAAGAAGGGGGTCAGGGAAATGGAGGGAAATTGAAATGAAGGATGGAGGAATGGAGAATAGAGACATGGAGGAATGGAGAATAGAGACATAGGGAATAGGAGTGGAGAGAAGCAGGAGAAAAGAGACAAAAATGAAAGAAAATCATCATAAGGGGACATAGGAATAAGGCATAGGGGTAAAGGTTCAGGAATTAGGAATGGAAAAGGGGGTGGGGGTTAGGGATTAAAAAAAACAAACAGACATGAATGAACAGATGGATGAGGCACGGGAATGAAGGGTCGGGAATGGAGAAATGAAGATGAGGGATAGTTGAGGGAAGTGGGAGTACCAGGAGTAGATTGAGGAATAGGGTGTTAGTAGAGAAGGACTGCAGAACAGACAGGGCTGAGAAAGAATGGGATGTAGAGAAATTGGGATGGGTAACAGAGGGATGGAGAGAAATAGGAGGGATGAGAGAAAACAAGCAAGGGTGAGCAGAGGGATGGAGGGATGGAGGGTTGGAAGAGAAGGATGAAGGACCAAGGGATGGAATATCAGGAATAAGAAACAAGGGATAGGAATTGGAGAAAACAGGAATGGGAAGAGGGATAGAGTTGGAAGATAATGATGAGGGGCAGGGGGCAGAATAGGGGTGGGTGGGGTGGAGGGAAACAGAAATGGAGAACCAAGGATGAAGGATAGCGATGCAAGAAAACAAGCATTGGAGAGGACGGAGAGACAGAGTGGAGGGGCAAGAGTGGAAGGAATCAGGGATGGGGACAGAGGGATGGAGGCACAGGGGGCTGGATGATAAGGATAAAGAACAAAAGGATGAAGGAAAATGAAAACTCAGTGAGAGGACAGAGGGAAGGAAATAGGAAAAACCAGAGAAATGTATAAAGAGAGATGAAGGGACAGAGGAGTGAAAGAGATGAAGGACAGTGATGGAAGAGAAGAGGAAGATGAAGGAACAGAGGGATGAGGGAAACAGGAATGGGGAACAGAGGCACAAAGGGACGGAAGGGGCAAGAGGATAGGACGAAGCAGTTATGGGGATACAGGCAGAGAATGGTATGGAAAAGTAAGCAGATAGTGATGAAGAACAGAGGAATGGGGAAACAGGGATGAAGAATAGGGTTCAGAGGGAGAAAACATAGGACTGGGAACATGGAGGGGTGAAAAGATGGGGGATGGTCTCTGTATCAGTCGCCCCCCAATCCTGGTTGTCTATGTCCTATCATTCCCCTGGAGCTGAGGGAGGTGGGGGATGGACTATATTCATGTCTTGGTGGGTGTCAGGGCCAAGGTGGGGGGAAAGGTGGAAAGGAGCGGGGAGGACTCCTCATGCCAATTAGCACCAGCTCTAGAGCAAAAGGGAATTAAAGTCCTGGTGGGAGAAGAGAGGGGGCCTGGGGAGGTGGGCTAATTAAGAGCTAAGCACCAGCTGCCCCCTCTTCTCCTCACCAGGAGGCCCCCACTCTTCCCCAACCCCCAGCTCCAAGTCACTGACTCATTAGCTAGCACTAGGGGAGAGAAGGGTCCAGACAGCCAGGATCCCAGCCCCCAGCATAAACAAATCTTGAGCTTCCACTCCTGGGGGAGGACAGAGGGACAGAGGGACAGAGGGACAGAAGGAGGGGGACAGAGAGATTGTGAACAATGATGGGGAACAATTGGATGGAGAGACAAGGGGAGAGAAAGACAAGGAGACGAGGGTCGGAGGAGGAATGAAGGGATGGGATGGAAGGATTGAGGAATAGCGGGATGGGGGGACAGAAGGAGGGCAAATGAAGGGGAAGGGAGCAGGAAGGGGATCTTACCTGTTGCTCCTTCTCTGCCTCAATGGCAGAGGCTGAGGCTGGAGGGAGCAGCTGCCAGAGCACCCTGGGGGCAGCCCCGCCCCTGGCCCCCTCCCTCCCGATCCCCACACCCGCCCCCGCTCCCTGTCCCTAGGGCCTCTTGGAGTCCTGATCTCACACATGCACACTCGAGCGTGCACACGCGTGCGCGTGCACACACACACTCCCCGAGTTAGTCACAGAGACCCACCACTCAGTCACACACACACACACACACACACACTATCAGATGTGCACAATTACACACTCTATCATAACAGCCAGCGTTTCCCATATAGTTACAGAGACTGCCACAAACACAACTGAACAGTCACAGGCGCACAATCAGCCAACCCTACACAGGACCCTACACACACAGGCGTACGCACAGCAACATGCGTGCCCCATGCTAAATTAGTGGTAAACATTATGAAACACGGCTAAAGGCAGCCAGTCACACACCCAGTATTCAGAACACATTCAAAATCTCTCTCTGTTTCTATCTCTGTCTCTCTGTCTGTCTCTGTCTCTCTGTCTCTCCCTCCCTCCCCCCTCCCTCCTCTCCTCTCCTCTCCTCTCTTCTCTTCTCTCCTCTCCTCTCCTCTCCTCTCTCCTCCCCTCTCCTCTCTTCTCTCCTCTCCTCTCCTCCCCTCTCCTCCCCTCTCCTCTCCTCTCCTCTCCTCTCTTCTCTTCTCTTCTCTTCTCTTCTCTTCTCTTCTCTTCTCTTCTCTTCTCTTC